ACCTGCCTGGGCTCGGGCCCCCCGAGGTGCTCCCCAGCCCATAACCGCGGGCTCCTCGCTCACCGCTTTTACTGAGAGGGAGTAACGGGGCCGCCAGCTGGGGTCCCGGGGATGAGGCCACGGAAGTAACCCCGAGGCCTGTCATCCCACCGGCTCAGCCGGAGGCGGGCGCGATCGAATGGCTCTCAGGCCAACATGGCCTTTATGCCGAGACATCACGCTGGCTCCCCTCACTCGGGGGAGCACGTGGCTCCTAAGAAACAGAACCCACCACACAACACAGACGAGACCTTTTGCTCTGGCAGCCGAGCAACGTGAATTGTTCTCTGGCCCGTCCCAGGAGGCGAGGGAGGAGGAGACCTGCTCGCAGGGGAGGCCCCAGGTGAGCGCTGTGTCCCCTCCAGCGCTCTGGACCCTGACTTTTCTCCAGAATGAACGCTTTCACAGTTTTAATGTGATCTCTGGAATATATGCAGTAATACAATTTCAAAAAGTTTAAATGAGCCCGGCCGGCGTGGCTCAGGGGTTGAGCATGGACCTAGGAACCAGGAGGTCACAGTTGGATTCCCGGTCCGGGCACAGGCCCGGGTTGTGGGCTCCATCCCCAGCAGGGGGCGTGCAGGAGGCAGCCGATCAGTGATTCTCTCTCATCATTTATGTTTCCATCTCTCTCTCCCTCCCCCTTCCTCTCTGGGAAATATATTTTTAAAAAAGTTTAAACGACATAGAAAAATAGTCATAATATATCGAGCTAAGCAGGCAAGATACAAAACTGGGTACAGAACACGCGCCACGGCGTTAGTGACACAAACTCGAGGAGGAGCCACACCCAGATGGTCAGCAGGGCTCCTGCCTCCGTGGTGGCAGCGGAGATGGGGTGCTCATTTCCTTCAGAAATTCCCAGGGGTTTCCCCAGGACACTGCCAGGGAAGGAAGCGAGCCAGACCCGCATGAGAGGGACCCCCCCTCACACCTCGGGCAAAATGCGTGTCTTTCTGGTCAGTCCAAAATGCAGTTACACGTGGCCTCCGTGGCCTCTGCCCCAATCTCGCGGCCGGAGGACCTCCCGGGAGTGATTCTCTCCCACACAGGGGCAGCCCGCCGGCATTGCACGCGCTGTCTTACCTGATGGTGGCCTCGAAGACTTGCACGGTGGAATCTTTGTCAAATGACACGGTGTTGATCACCAACTTGACCGCCTTCTGGAACTCAGATGAATTTCCCATGATCTGTAACAGAGGGGGCGGGGCTGAAGGACCCAGGAGAGGGGCCACACTCTCCCCCGCTGCACCTGGTGAAACCCATTGAGCTCTGGGGGCATCTCCGAGGGCACCTGGCCAGCCCTGGCCTCCAACTCAGCAATCACATCTGCAAACGGTAACATTGAGCACCGTTCCTCGGACGCCATCAGCCCCTCCCTTCCCCTTCCCCTTCCCCTCACTCAGGTATCAGCGAGTTCCCGAATTCTGGGAACGAGGAAACACCCACCCCCAAATGGAAGAAACGAAACTGCAACTTTCCCTCTTGCTCCTCAAACACACGGACAGCTCAGAGCTGGGAGCCCAGGACCCAAACACCCGGAAACAATGGTGGCTTGTGACATGGTTGTTTCCGTGCGCGGAGAAATACAAGTGTTATCTTTTGGAGCAAAGCACAAGTCCAGTGACATTCAAAACAAACAAAACACAAGAGACAATCAGCTCGGTCTCTTTAAAAACATACCCTAGCCCGGCCGGCGTGGCTCAGTGGTTGAGCTCCATCCATGAACCAAGAGATCGATTTTGATTCCTGGTCAGGGCACACGCCCAGTAGGGGGCGTGTGGGAGGCAGCCAGTCGATGTTTCTCTCTCATTGATGTTTCTATCTCTCTCTCCCTCTCCCTTCCCCTTTCTCTTTAATCAATAAAAACATTTTTAAAAAGGGCCTAGAACCCCGATCCCTATTGGATGCATGGGCATGACGTCACACCAAGCTGCTCTCTCCATGCGAAGTGCAAACTGGGCACAAAACTTTTTTTTTAATTTAAATATATATTTTATTGACTTTTCTTTTTACAGAGAGGAAGGGAGAGGGATAGAGAGTTAGAAACATCGATGAGAGAGAAACATCGATCAGCTGCCTCCTGCACACCTCCTACTGGGGATGTGCCTGCAATCAAGGTACATGCCCTTGACCAGAATCGAACCTGGAACCTTTCAGTCCGAAGGCCGACGCTCTATCCACTGAGCCAAACCGGTTAGGGCTCACTTGATTTTTAGATTCACTTATTGATAGATATTGGGCAAAAAACTTTTTAGATTAATCAGAAATGAAATGCCTTCATGCTGTTCAAAAGTTTATGACAGCCCTAGCTGGTTTGGCTCAGTGGATAGAGCAGACTGAAGGGTCCCCCCTGGGTTTGATTCTATTCAAGGGGACATGCCCAGGTTTCGGGCTTGATCCCCAGTAGGGGGCGTGCAGGAGGCAGCTGATCAATGATTCTCTCATCCTTGATGTCTCTCTCTCTCTCTCTCTCCCTTTCTCTCTGAAATCAATAAAAATATATTTAAAAAATGTTTACGACAATCCTGGAATTGTGATGACATCGTAAGGACATACACATGAAAAACAAGGAAACACAAACCGTCTCTGAGACACATTTTTCAGGTGCCTGATTCCCGAGCATTCCCCGGTCTGCGGGCCTCTGCCCCTCGCTGTCCCCTCCCTGCCACAGGCAGAGCACGTACAGGCGGCTCGGCTCTGGCCCGCACGCTCTTTCTTTGTAAAAGATGGCGCCACTGCAGGCGAGACCAGGAGGTCCTGTCTCCCAGGGCCCAGCTGCACATCTGTGGGAGCCTCTCTGACAGGTTGAGAGGAAACCTCAACAGAAGCAAAAGCCCAGCAAAGGCCGGATGTTGTACAATGGAAACCACAGAGGCCTGCTTCCTTCCCGATGTTGGGCAGCACTGTCTGCTGGCAGCTGCAGCTGCCGGTCTGATCTCAGGTCAAGGGGAAGGTGAAGAAGGAACTGGGACGGTCACTGGCCACTGCAGTCAGATCAGCCAGCAGGTCCGAGGGCCTCTCTCCGGCTGGTCTGGACGGGGGAGGAGAACGGGTCCGTACTGCGGGACTTGTCAGAGCCCTAAGATGCCGGCGTGCGCTGTGGCTCCCAGCCCTGGGACAACGTGCAGACTTCCACAAGTTCACTGGGGACAGACTTCTACGTTCAAAGAGGGTGCCCCTGGAGTCGGTGCTGGGAAGGCTGGCGCAGCAGGAAGTCACTTTGGCACACACACTTGCTCTAGGTGCGGAGAGTGCGGTGAATGACAAGGAGAGGCCCTGAACGCCGGGGGAGGGGGATGGAGGCACGCAGGGCGCGGGCGGGGCTTTCACAGCTGCGCAGGCGTCCTGGGACTTGGTTAAGCAACACTTGTGGCTGAGTCAGCCTGTTATCTTCGACAGGTCAGTCCTCCGTAGGCCGAACGGACTGGTCTGGGCACATGGGGTGGGCGATGGTGGACGAGGGGGTGGAGTCACAGATGCAGGAGGAGATCCTGCGAGACAAGCGCTTGGCAGCCCCAGCCGGGCAGCTCCACCCCGGCTCCCCATTAGACGGCTCCCCCATTAGACGCCGTGGAATGCAAATGAGCTCTCCAGCTCCGGCCGTGCAGTCACCTCTCCTTCGAGCAACGCGCTGGCCAGCGCTGATGCAAACCTCGCCAGCATTGCACAACTCACTCCCCACGCTTCACCCGCTCACACGCTCAGACCACAGGGGGAGGTGCTCAGGGCGAAGGCTTGCTGGACACGCAGGGAGAGGTCGGAGCCGTTCCCTGGGAGCTGCACCAGGTGCAGAGGCTGGGAGGCCTGGCCATGGGCACCTGCCCCAGAGCTCACGCCCCACCTGCCCTGCGGCCGGTCCAAGGCCTCCTGTTCCCCGGTCAATGGGGGACACAGGCAGCATTGAGGGGAGCCCGCGGGTCTGTCCAGAGCACGGGCAGTGAGGACAGGCTATGGCAGAGGCCTGGGCTCAGGGCCGCACAGGGTCAGGGACTGACCAACCCTCAGCTAGCGTCTTTTCCTCCTGAAACCTTCTTTTTCCTGCTGCGAAGGTTACGGTCACTATGGGCACTAACGAAATGCTCTTTTGATTCTTTGAGGCAATAAAATAGTGAGAAACTGGGAGAAAAATAGGTTTCCCCCAAATCATCACATTTTCCCTCATTTCACCTGCAATACTTTTCTTGCTCTGGGCGTCAAGGCCATGAAAAGAAAAACCAGTTAAGGCCCGCCGGTGTGGCTCCGTGGCTGAGCACCAACCCATGAACCAGGAGGTCACGATTCCATCCCGGTCAGGCACATGCTCTGGTTGCACGCCCAGTAGGGGTCATGCAGGGGGCAGCCGATCCATGATTCTCTCTCATCATTGATGTTTCTGTCTCTCTCTCTCTCTCTCCTTCCCTCTCTGAAATCAATACAAATATATTAAAAACAGAAACAACAGTTATGAAAGAGTATGAAAGCTGGGAATGTATGGTGAGTACCAGGTTTCCTGGAATCCCATCCTGGCGGGGAGCAGGGGTGACACCCCAAAACCTCCTGATGAATTAAAAGCACAGTGAAGCCGTACTTACTGCCAGTGTGTCCAGGGCGTCCACGAGCGTCAGCGAGTAATTGCCCAGGACGTCGTTGATGTTCAGGTTGGAGCTGAGAGAGAAACAAAGGCGCTTGTGTTACAGGAGAGAGAAGGGCAGGAAACTCAACACCTGTCAGCCGCGAGACCTGCTGGCCACGCTCATGGCCCCGGGACTATTGAGGGCGGGTCAGTGTGGAGGCCTTGCTCCCTCACAGGCCGTCCCAGAGCAGCCGCGCCGCGGACACCACAGAGGAGGGAGTCCCCAGCGGGAGTCAGGGACGGCGCCCAGGCACCTGCCGTCTCGGGTGCCGTTTCACGGCCCTAAACGCTCTCTCTGTTCAGCTTCAAGTAGCTCTGGCTTGAGATCCTTGGGAGCAGAGAGGGGAGCCCTGCCCGATGACCGGCCCCCAGCCTCTAGCTGGGAAGTCCGCCCCCCTGAGCCGGCCACACCCAGAGAGGAGCGACCCCCCAGCGCAGTCTCAGCATCTCAGCGCCCTGGGATCGGGGAACACATGAACTTCATGCCGTGTTTCACCCACACTCACCCCAAAGCCCATCGCCTCCGTGGAGGCTGAGAATGGCTGTGGCACGACCAGGACAGGAGCTGCGTCACTTGTGCAACACACCCCTGCCCCCATCAACACCGCTTCCCTGTTTTTATTATAATATATATATATA